GTACACTAAATTGTGTAAAAATTCATGACGAGCAAAACTTTTTCTAGTGTTATAATTTCTTAAATGTGGAAATGGCTTCTGATATGAAGCATTACTGACAGAATTTTTAGAAGGCCTTGGTTTATGCAAGTTCTTAGCTGTAAATCAAGGCAGTTAAGTTGGAAAATGGTAGATTGAAAGAAGAGTTTGTATTAGAAGTAATAAGCATCTATGTAATTGAGAGGACAAACAGATTAGAATTCTCTTGATTTAACAGGGTAAATTATATATAGGTTTCCAAAGTTATAGCGTGAAAAACTTATTTCACAGTTACTGAAAGAGGAACAAATAAAAATGGGGAGTAAGTCAATGATTAGTAATAGTTACAAATCAGGTGTGTAACACTACTCGGATCCTTCCCACTAATGAGTCAGTTGTAAACAGCAGAATCGTGTGCAGTGATTTCTTGGGTTATTCTGTCAATCAGTTAACTTGAAGGATCTCTTTTTGCCATACTTTCATTTATTATTTAATGTATACCAAAAATTTAGTATTAATTTTCGACCTATTTTTATCCATGTAAAGAATAGCTAGCTCCAGGGAGTTTCTCCTTCTACCAAAACCTGTGTAACCCTTAATGCAATACAAATGCTCTATTTTAGTCCTTAAAGCCAAGTAAGGGAGAATGATAGGACAGTCATATACTTCTCTGCTGGAAGAGGTGTGTCCATTCTGAGTAGCCATTTGGGAGGTATCTTAACAAAACTGTATAAGACATGAAAAAAACACAATTGCACTTCTTATTTTGTAAAAGCTTTAATACAGTAATAAGATTCAGTATTGCAGCCTTATGTTAGTTGCTGGCTTTTTTATGACTTATTTTTACTCTGTAGTGTTCTTGTAGATCTGATTTCTCCAATGAAACTTTTCTTCGTTCCACTCAAGTCAGATTATATTTGAGCTAACGATGAGATTTCTGAGTGGATTTCTTTTTTGTTCTGTTGCAGAGGTTTGCCTGGAAGGACAAGAGGGTATTGTTGATATTATCTGCTTATTCTTGCATCATATACTTTCATTGTTGTTCTTGTTTACTTGCAGAAAGTGAGACAGGGAAATAAATTGAGTATTGCTGAAGAAATGAGGAAAAAAGCAATGCAAGTCTGAATGGCTGTTCTGAAGCTGCTTTTTACATCTGTAGCATAAAAAGCATATAAACTTTAATGTCAGAAATCTGTGGTGGGCTTATAATGCTTTTTACTCATAAATTACTTCAATATTAATATTTCACATATGCAAAGTTTCTTTCACATTAAAAGATTTTATTGTCAGCATTTATTAATGGTAAGGAATGACATGGATGATTTTGTAATGATGAGGTATGTGGGCCAAAGTCTGTAGGTTGTTCATTGTTAGGATAATCTTAAAATCTTTGTGTCAACCTCAATTTGAACAACTTTGGTGACAGGGGTGGTGGAAGGAGGGAGCAGATAATTAAATCCAAGGTCTCTGAGGTCAAACTTGATTGAAGTTTTATTGAAGGTGATCAGGAAAAATTGATGAACACACTATGTTAAGCAGGCAAGACAGCAAAACAGATCCATCTCTAGATTATTTCTAACTTTGCTGAAATTTCTGAGCCCAAAATCTCACATAACCTCATATATATATAAATATGTATTTTTATAATGTTTTGGAAATATTTGGAAAATTACATGGGGAAAAAAAGCTAAGAGTAATTCTAAGTAGAAACATTTCCTTTTTCATACTGAAGTAATAGTGCCTCTTTTCCTTTGATATGAAAAATTAAGATAGCATTTTAATTATGCATCCACACAGGTTCTAATAACCAAAAGCATTTTAAATGGGTAATTCTTGAATGCAGTTCTCCAAGGAGCCTTAATTGTACAATAGTGATAATAGCTTCCTGCCTTCCCTCTTTCCTGAAATAAATTTCTGCGTATAGAATGTTTTCAAGATTTGTATGGGTGATTTCAAAGAGTTTTATTCCAGTGTATGTTGTAGGACTTCTTTAAGAATGTTGCTTTTATGATACATCAACTTGTCAATAAAATTTTTAAGACTGTAGGGCTTGGTGTGTAAATAACAATTTTTTTTTTCTTGACTAAACATAGTACGTACTAAATCTCACAAAGAAACTGGGCTTATTTTGCTTATTGCTATTGCTGCTATACACGCAGGATTAATGCTGTTCTGAAGACTTTTTTTTTGTATTAAAAGCAAGGGTTAATAGTAATCAGAGATAGGACTGTGTAATGCAGACTGAAATATTTTCATTAATTTGGAAATAATATAACTTCTATAAATGTAATGGAAGATGGCATATTTTGATTAGTTTGGGTTTTTTTTTTAATATTTGGAGCAGAAGTGAGAAAGAGTGGGAAAATATGGGGAGATGGGGAGGATAAAGGATTTGCGGGGGATGGGGTGTTGGCAGAGTATAACATCTTGCCGCCTGCAGGGCCAAAGTCAAGTGGCTGGTATTTTTGTATTTCTGGCATCAGAAAGCTTTCTGATGAGAAGGATGAGGTAGTGTTTGTAATATTGAAAGTGTGAATGTTTTTTCTGCTGGAAGAATGAACATGATGGTCAAAGCAGAATCTGAATGATTGGTGGCAGAGCCTAGAAAAGCCTAAAGAATTTGTGTAGCATATAAGGATTTTCAAGTTACAAAAGCAGTTTAGAAAACCAGGACAAAATTGTGTTTACTGTACAGAAACAGTACAGGCTGCCCAGAGAGTTTGTGGATGCCCCGTCCCTAGAGGTGTTCAAGGCCAGATTGGATGGGGCCCCGGGCAGCCTGGTCTAGTGTTAAATGGGGAGGTTGGTGGCCCTGCATGTGGCAGGGGGGTTGGAGATTCATGATCCTTGAAGTCCCTTCCAACCCTGGCCATTCTGTGATTCTGTGATTCCAAAGACTTGTCTTCTGCAGGCTTAACAAGTCCAGCCTCTCCTTGCAAGACGAATGCTTGGCAAACATGGCTGGAAGATCTAGAAGGCAATAATTTGTTTGTGTAGGCTTAGTCATGGAATTTCTAAATAGGAGTTTAAAAAGTCGCTGTTTTTGTTCTGTACTGAAAGGTCATTGACATATGGCAGCTTAAAAGAATGGGAACAACTTACTGTTGTTAAGTGTGTTGTCATGCAGTATTAGTTCTGTTGCATTTTCATTTAAAAATTTTTGTTGTTGTTTAGCATTTAGATGATTTTACTTTGTAAATGCTTTTGTTTCATTAGTGGAACTTACATATCTGAGGCAGCACTGGTGTGTGAGAAAAATTGAAAGAACAACGGCAGCAGCACAGTAACATTTCTTTGTTTCACTTCAGCTAAATGGTTTTGTCTGTGTGCAACAAAGAAATCAGAACATAATCTTGGGAGGAATTCTGAGAAGCATTATTTGTCTTTAATAATCTAACACTTTTGAAACAACTTTTTCAAGATACAGTATTGTTTGGAATGGATGAAATCTTAAGACAAAACCTCTACCCCTAAGTTTTAGGATAGGCTTTTCATTAAGACTTGTTTAAAATTAGAAGCCTGACTTCCAAGAGCAGATGGATGATGGCCTTTGTTGCTGGAATTGCTGGATCCATGCAGAGCTTTGCATCCTCTAGACGTTTGCTCTTTTATGAAACAGTTGAATTAGATGTTCTGTTGTCCCCCTGAAGTTATTAAAAATGCTTATGAGAACCTTAACCTCAAAGGAGTCTTTTTTTTTTTTTTTTTTTTCCCTAACAACAACGAAAAACAATTACGTAAGAAAAGCTTGTGCAAGGAATCTGTAGGAAAATAAGAATTTAGTGATAGTTCAGCTTTTCTAGACAGGAGAGCCTAAGTGACTTCAGCCATCCAGAAGTATCTTCATCCTGTACCCTGGACAGGAGAGTAAACTTAATACTTCCACCACATGGAGGAATTTGGAGAAAAGAAGTCTTGTCTTCTGTTTGCCCTTATTTTACACTATAAACTGTTTTCTGTAGTCTGAAACATTTGCTGTGTTATGAACACTGGCTAACTGCTTTTCTTAGCTGAAGAGAGGACTGAGCAGATGGTGTCAGCAAAATGAACATTGATTTCCTAATTAGATATTAAGAAAAATGTTGGAAGATATTAAGCAGAACATTAAAGTAATATTTAAATAATATTTCTTTTTTGGTTGGTAGAAAGTAGTACAAATAAATCATATAAAGCAATTTCTTTCTAGTTGAGATTGATTTATACTTTAAAATGAGTAGAGGAAAATACTTTATAGGAAATATAGCTGACTACTCTTGTAAAAGGGTGGTTACAATTAATCCTTTTAAAAAGTCATAATCACTAAAGAACAAAACATCATGAAATTTGTTTCCATTATCATGGAAACACTCTAAAAAGAAATTGCTTTTTTCCCCCTGTATATGAGATCTAATTGTTTCTGTATATAAAGATTAAAGTATTTTTGGCTAATTTGAGAAATGTGTTTTCAGAATATAGTCTCATCATAATGCTTGTGGTTACATATTGTTCAAGTTTTAAGAGTACTGTTAATGGGAGAAAGAAAAAAAGAGTGTTTTCTAAGGAAGTAGTTTTGCAGTTCTTTTTAGAGGTTGTGAAATTGTCATCTGAACTTTCAATAGATATGATTTTTTTCTATTCCACAAAAAAAGGAAATATATTCTGTAGCAATCTACTATATATTAGCAATCTTATTAATATCAATAAAACTTTGATTAGTTTTGTTTAAAGTTCAATGTAATAATTTCAGTTCCTGTTAGACTAGTGTTTTAAAAATCTACCATTATTATCTTTCTTGTATTCACTTATTCAAGTTAATTCTGTAATAATAACCTTTCTAACCTTAATTCATTTCTTGTCTTTTCTATTTCATAAAATTGACATTTTATCTTGCAGTCTGAATCACTACACAAGTCCACTCAGACGTGAAATAAGGGAATATGGTCTGCTATCTGTTGTTTATAAGATCAAGTTACAAATGACATTCTTCTTTCTCTTCGCAAAAGGCTCTGCGACGTGAACTGAAGGATAAAGAGCAAACCATTCTCAATGCTGTTGACCAGGCACGAATTTTCCTTGCTGACCAACCAATTGAGGGGCCTGAGGAACCAAGAAGGAGCGTACATTCAAAAACAGGTCAGAAAATACTATCTTCCTGTTCAGAATAGTCAAATGGGAAAAAAAAGGACCTACATGTTCCTAGCATGTGTTTTCTATTGCAATTACTTGATTAGGCTTCAGAATTTTCTAAACGATTTTCTAACTACATTTTTTTTTTTTTTCAATGATTTAGCCTTGAACTATTACTAAACTGCTTTGGTTGGAAGTATTCAGTTTTTAATGAAAGAAGAAAATTTTTGCGTTTCCTTTTCTGGTTTTTGATGTAAAACACATCATCAGTTCTGTTTATTATTTTCTTTACATTAATGTATACACCTTGAATATAGTCAGAGGAGCAAATAAAGGATGTATTTTTTTACATCATTATTACAAAATTTTACCCCACAAATGGAAGTGAATGTACTCTGTGAATATGTTGTCATTAGAATGTATTCTAATTGTATCTCATTAGATGTAAAACAAGTCAGCTTTAGGAAGGCAATCATTACAAAGTCATAAAGATTCAAATCTTTTGATGAATTAGAAATGGTATTTACTTAGTATTTGTCAAGATATTTGTCTCAGTATCAGAGACCATCAAGAAGGTAATAATTTTTCACCATTAGGCCCGTAATCCCCAAATTATGAAAAATGTACCAAATACCTCTGTAATTACAGCAAAAATATGTTATAATCAAAGTGTAATTAAGTCAGAAATGTTTTTCAGACATTAGACACTTTATAATAAAATCTTACTTCTTTTAGTTACTTAAGAATTCATCTTGGAAAAAGCTAGTAGTCATTTACAAAAATATCAGCTGCAGTAGAATGTGAATAATTTACTCTTCTGTATAGAAAAGTATAAAGCTACTTCTATGGCAATGGCTTGTAGCTTCTGTAAGGAGTTGAGTTTTCTTCCTATACATCATTGAATCTCTATAGCAAACTTTTCAGGTTTGTTCACTGGAAGCAACCAATCTTTCCTGCATCGACAGTATAACTTTTGTGCAAAATTTCTTGTGATTTCCTATTCTCTAATTCAGCTTTTTGCAGAAGTTTGAATATCGGTGAGTAAAGCCTTTTTTTCTCTGTGATTTAAGTTAGATGCTGTGCTGTGTTTTACTCTTTGATTTTTGAAATCCTGATTCTTGAAAGCATTCAGCTTGTCTTCCTAAGTTTACTCACAATCTTGTTTGATATATTGCACCTGTAATGTTTTCTTTGTTTTAAACCACAACAAACTTCAGAGTCAAGAAATAGGAAAAGTTCACTTTTATATTTGCTCATTCTGTTGAGAGTTCACAGGCTTTTGTCTCAAAAGCCATTGAATTACCTACTAGAAATGATGCCAATGCACTAAATGTTACCCATGTAAAGTGTTCTTTCTCTAGCAGGGGCTGATATCCGTGGTCTAATCAATGCTGAATGAAAGTGCAAAACCAACCTTCAGATGATATGCATCATTTAAAGTAATTTAAAAACTATTACTGTTATTATTACTTTAAACTCCTGTGAGTTACAGATGGCAATGATAATAGAATAGCAGGAAAGTTGATGGCCATGGTAAACTGCGTAACAGAATGAGCACAACCAAGTAGATGGTCTGTAAATGATGCTTGTGTCTTGTCTACTCATCACTGAAATCAAATATGCTTGGGTTGGGAAGCTTTGTAGGGATGGTTTGAACTTACTTTCCTTGTCCTTCCACATGCTCAGTTCCATACATATTCTTTTTCAGAGTGTAGAATGGACCAGTCTTGGCTACCAGCTGAGTATGCACCCCACTGCTGTGCCTCAACTGGGTGAAGGGAAAATAGGGAGAGCACAGATGAGAAAGCTTATGGGTCAAGATGGAGGTCAATCCATTGAAAGCTACTGCTATGGCTAGAACAGACTTGGCGAAAATAGGCTATTTATAGCTACTTAAATTGTAATTAGTCAGTAATGGGAAACAAATAGACAAACACTACAAGGAGACCTTTCCTTTCCCCTTTCCTACTCTCAGCTTGACTCATTTCTTCCCAGCTCCTGGACACAGAAACCACATGCGGAGCAATGTTTCTGTAGATTAATAGACTTTCAGGCCAAAATGTATCTTTGAATCTTCTGCTCTGATCTCTTATACATCAAAAGATGTTAAATTTCACCCAAAACCGAATGTAATAATACTTTTTTTTTTTTTTTTTTTCTGACAAATAATATCACCCATCTCCAGAAAGCTCCACTAAACTTGAACACATCCAGAGACGTGCAGTGTTTCTTCTGAACAGTGATTTTTAGTGAAGGATTTGAGTGCAAGCTTGTTTGCTTTTAAAATGTTTAATGCTTTATTTTCTATCAGCCACTCAGTCATTGTGTTCTCTGCAGTACATTAAAGTTTGCTCATTAACATCAGTGAAGTACACTTAACATTGCTAAAGGTGAAGAGCATGGTTTTGGATTGTAAGCTGTACTACAAATAGCAAAAAAATTACCTTTTTGGGGAACTCGTAATAGCATCATTTGGAAAATCACTATTTCTTGAATTTACTTTTTTTTTTTTTTTTTTTTTTAATCTAAAAACAGAACTGTTGAGGTGCAGGGTTAGCTAATCGAAAGAGGTTGTAAAATATCCAGCCTTATGTACTATTTTGCACTTACCTGTAAAATATCCAGGTTACGCAAAGGAAAGGACAATGCAAATGCTTTGCTGCTTGTTGTGTAAGAATTCAGGGTACATTGGACTAGTTATCTCATGATTATTTCAGTCTCAGGTTTTTCACAGTAGCGATACAGTCTTGCCATGTGATTCTGCTGTGGCATCAGTTCAAACTCTTTTGTACATTATAATGAATTAAGATAATCTGAGTAACCTTTTCACATCCCCTTGAAATGCATAATACAATCAAAATGTAATTGAAAAAAAATTACCTTGCGGGAACATCTTTTACAGATATTCATAATACTTAAAAATAAACTCTATGATATCTTTTCTTCTCAGGCATCATCTTTGAAGCTTTCTCTATTCATTTATAAGTACGAACTACAAAAGAAAACCGAATAATAATCTAATTCAGTCTTTGTATTAGTTGTCTGACTTCACCTGATTTGCACTTGGGCTGTTAGGTAAAAGAGTAATTCTGCCTAGGCATGAGGTAGTCAACAATATCTGAGAAGGTTTTTTTGTTTGTTTTTCTTTTTGAAATAGAAATTGTAAAGGTAGTTTCAGTTAACCAAAGTTTTAAATTCAAAAGTCTCCTAAATTTAAACAGCACAAAAACAGCGCACACAGGCTCATTTGCAATTAGTGACCTCAGTTTCAGTTCAGGTGTGACAGGACTTTTTTTCCTTGTTCGGATGCTCAAGTAAAAGTTTGCTTGTTTGTACAGAGGCTTCTCCAGGGAGATTTGCACAGATGTTTTCATCAACAGAATATCAGATTACTGAGCATTACAGTTCTGACAGCACATCATGTCCTTTTGGAGAGGATTCTCATTACCTGCTTGTGAATCTTATTATAATTTATGTGCAACTTCTGCTCTCATTCAGATTTTATATATATAAAGTATGTACTAGCAGCTGAGGTACCACTCTACATGGATTGTTGCTTCTGTCCTTGCATGCTTGCTGTAGGAATTGAAATTGTTCATGATTCCTGATTAGGAGAAGTTTGGTAACAGGGAATTCTCTGAGAGCAGACCTTGACTGATGCATTTGCGTGCTGATTTTAAATTGCCTTCTCCAGTCTCTCTCTTTTTAACCCCTAGAACTTTTCATGGCAGTGAAAGCAGTGTTGCAAGGACAAAGGGTGAGAGAGGTAGGAGAAAACTTGTAAGAATTGGTTTTAACCTTGCTAAAACAAGATTAATTTGAATACGTCCACTGTTACATCACAACGGAGTATCTGTTATTGGTTTCTTTTTAACCTGATATTGACTATAACTGTGTTAATTTCAGCTTTATCACAAGAATGTAAAATCAGATTATGAGCTATCCTTGATTTCTTCTCTGTTGTGTTGCCCTTAAACTTGCCATGTCAGCATTCAGCTGTACCATGCAATAATTGGCAGAATCAAACACAATTCTTCATCTTCCAGGAAACTTCCTTTGAAGTTCATTTTATCACTCATCATTCTTTATCACCTGTCTTTTATTCTCATTTTGTTTTTCCGTATTTTCTTACGAAGGCAATGCTACAAAATTAAAAAAAAAATCAAACTTGATCCTTCCCTTGACTTTAAACTTTGAACATCTTTTTTAACATCTGAATGGAGCTGATTGACAAAATCCACCAAGCTGCCTGCTGAATTTTGTAAGTGGTCAGGATAGGAAATTAGAAATACTTGCATTTTTAGCTTTGTTGCCATTTTTTCCATGGTATAGGAGAATTATCACAATTTAAAATTATAATAAACTTTGTGCACAGTTTTAGATCTATGCCTGAGTTAGAGCTGGATTTTTATTAAAAATAAACCGTGGGTTGCAGAAAGGGATGAGGAAATAGTATTTCCTGCCCTAGGGTTATACAGACCAATGATACAGCTTTTCTGAAATTCTGTCCTTAAAATTTCACTGCTGTAATATGAGGGAGTAGAGCTATTTACTTATTTTTTTAGTAGATAACACAAATTAACATCTTAGCAGATAAGTGATTCCCACTGCAATTGAGAATGTTTCCAGGTGTCTGCATTATTGTAATTGTTTTGTTATAGCAGTCAGATTCCTAGCTTCAAAAGCTTTTTTTTGGTATCAAAGGTTGTGTGATAAACACATCATTTAAAATTGAGTCTTTGCTGTCTGTTAACTTCTTTTAATTGAAAGCATAGAAAACTCCATAAACCACATCTGTGTTATAAGAGAAATGTAGAGAAATTATAGAGAAATTAGTGAATTACACGCGGGTATTTTAAACATGCAACCACACAAAATATTCTCCTGTTTCAGACATAAAAGTCAAACTTCTTTCCTTCCTACTACTGAACAAGTTCAGATAGATTCTCTGCTGTTATCTTTTATCAAAGAAGACCTTTCTGTAACTGAATAGTCAATTTACTGTA